CCAGCATCTTTCTGGACAGAAAAATGAAGAAAAAAGTTCACCCATAAATCAAGCTGAAGCCAATTTATGAGCTGCTCCTCATCAGCCATTTCTTTGTGCAGAGCTGAGAGAACATAGGCAGTTAAAGCTGATAATTTGTTTATTCCATTTAATTTTCACAGATATGCAGATCCATATTATGTTGCTGAAGAGCTGCATTGTTTCAACACAACCCCACCTCTTCACTGGGTGATTTATACACAGCAGCAAAAGGCACTGTCAATAAGCCACAGGTAAAACTTGGATGAGTAGGGGAAATTTTGGTAGAGGGTAATCCTTTATGCACTAAACTGCTATTTTTCAAAAGGCATTATTTTCATACACAGCTATGGGCTGCACAGAGTAGATGTCAATATATAGAAGAGAAATATGCCCATTTCCTTAACAAATGAGAGTTGACTTTTACCTTTTATCTGCACAAGAGACCTGCAGCAGCCGAGTACAGCAGGGTATGTTCCATATTGCAGCACTGCTGGATCACTTCCCTCTTTCTCAGTTATCTGGGTGGGTGAGCACGTGCTCAGAGTCTAGCACTGAGATTTTAGTGACTGATGCTGCTGGGAAAAAGCAAAATGTGTCAGTTTTTTCCACACCTGGGGCAAAATAGATGCAGCCTGGGTGCCTCTGCAGAAATTTCTTGAGGACTTTAAAAATGGGGTTGTGAGGGATACAATAGGAACATGGATGCTGCAATGTCACATAGCAGATATTTTTCCATCATATGATTGCTTTTCTTGCTTGGCTTAAGTGCTTGTTTCTATTTGCTGCTCCTGAATGCTGTGGGATTTTGGCTGCAGAAGAAGAGAGTTCATTTAAATGGTGGCTAATATTTCTAAATAATCAACTACAGGTTTTAAGAGCTACATGGATGCTGATTTCACATCATTCTTATAAGATGTGTGCAGAAAAAATGTGAAGCAAAGTGTTTCCATGAGAGTAAAGCAGAGTTGTTGAATCAGATTGATAGAGATGAGGTTTCCTGTTGTGTGTACTTTGCCTTGCTCTACTTTTGTGAACTTGGAAAAATACTTATCCAGGTGTGGGTTCTGATGTTCACTAGAACAGAAACAATCTAATTTCCATAGGATTAAGATGATACACAAAGCAGAAGGAGACCATCAACATCATAACATCTTGCAAATGCTACCAAGCAAACCACAGTAATATTTAGTAGTATGCACCCTAACCAGTCTTGCTAAATTCTGGATAAAATAATCACCATAATGCTATTGGTAAGTTTTCTCACATTTCTAAGTTTGTCAATATTCTCAAGACAATTCTAAGAGGCCAGGAGAATTACTGAGTTATTGATGCTATTAACAGTAACGAACACCACAATAAACAATTTAAAAAACCTTCCAGGTCTGTGGAGGATAAAAAATATTAATTCTGCTTTCTTTAGCATTTCTGTAATGTTTGTGAGTATCACAGGACATATAAAAATGAGAATGCTCTACCTTGTGGTAGTCAAGCCATACTCAACCCCGAGATGGAAAAAGCACAGAAGCTGCAATTTTGAACTATATTTGGTTTGGGTTTTTTTTGATTGCAAACATTCAAGTCATAAGTGTATTTTGGAATTCCATTTTCTGGACTTGCCCATTTACAGTCCAAGTTATCCCTTGGTGCTTGCAGACAGAAGGGAAATTCTGTAAATGTGAAGGGAATTTTCAAATCCCCAACTGCATACTGACTGAAGTGCTTTAAAAAAAAAAGTATTTTATGCAGTTAAAGCTGGTGTCATTTTTTACAGAATTGCTACTCTAGACTAGTTTGAAAGTTCTAGTCTATCACTGGAGTGAAATTCCCAAGTTGTTTCATATTTGTCTTTGTTAATAGGATTTTATAGAAGTGAATACTTAGAGCTCAGCCCTGTGTTTGCTTCAGGTTGGACTAAAAGTCTCACATGAAAGGAACTGGATCTTCTCATGTTTTTTGGGAAAAGGGAATGCATGTTTTTGCTTCATCTGGTTGTACTTAAGTTCATTAAAATGAAATCTGTCAAAGAGAGTCATGTGTAGCTTTGTTTGTTTATTTGCCTTTTTCCCAAAAATGCCTGTAGCAGGAGTTCGTGTTTATCTGCAACCCTCTCCAAACTGGGGTTTCTCTACAAAAGCATGCAGAAATTCTATTTTTTACATTCTTAGTTTTAGTTCTTAAGTTTTGGAGTGATCTCTCTGTTTGAATAGCTGAATAGCAAAGCAGAAAGTCAGCTCTTTATAGCACATAATCAAGCTTTTTATATGCTGAGCATTTTTCATTAGTACAGAGGAAAAAAATTTGCTTCCTTTGTGCTGTGTTTGGACAGTAAATACAGTGAATGCATTTCTTTCATTATTCCAGGTAGATTTTTGGAAAACCAACACTTTAAACAGAGATTTGCCTTTCTTTGCACAGGATATGGATGCAGTATGACAGAAAATTAGAGGTGATCTCTAATGCAAGGGACGAAACAAAGATCATATTTTCACTGCACATCCTTGCAGAAGTCTGTGTGTGACAATTTCTAACAATCAGCACAAATCAAGCACCGTGCACCACGCTGAGCCTGGAATCAGCATTCACCACACAACCCTCAGGAGAGGAATAGGTGGAGCTGGTGGGGATGGAAACTGATGTGGATGCAAACTCTGAAAAGTAGAAAAATAGATCCCCTGACGACAAAATCACACCTGGTGTTAAAGCCTAGGCTCTCATTAAGTAATGATTATTGCCTGCTGTGTATAAAAATAGCCACCACAAATAGCAGAGCTTAGCAGTGCTAATTTAATAGTTGACTGTGCTTACGGGTGTTCAGTGGAGCAGAGAGAATAATCTGCTGAGAGTTGGATATTGAGTGATTTTAGTCCCTCTTTCCTACTTCTGGAATAACCACAAACAGATCACAATTTCCTGGAGTTCATCTCTTCAAATATCTTTTATTAACAACTTTTCCCAGATACAGTCGACTGGGTAGATTGATCATGAATATTCTCAATTCAAACCACTGTGTATGCTTGTGGTTAATCAGATAATTCACATTTTATCATTTTTGTTGACTGGATGGGTAAACTCACAACAGCTTTCAGGGAGCTGAACCCAGCTATGTGTTAAAGGAAGCAAATGTACAAAAACCCATACACATACATCTAAAGTATATTTATCAAAACATGTTTGCATTAGTTATATTCAAATCTGGCAGAAAAGGGTCTTCACAGTGTGCCTTAACTAAGAGTAGAACGGGACCTGCAACTTTGCACTCCATGAAAAATTACATTATGCTATTGCAGGTGGGTATTCCAGTGGGTAATGTGCATGCTGTATTTCCTTCACAATTTAATGTGAAATAAGACTCATCTACTGCCTTTTCAATGTTGGAAGGAAATGTCATTCTGGAAAGGCATAGAAGACTTAAATACTGTATATTTAAACATAAAATGGTAACCAGCTGATGCCACCAAAATATAGCATCGTTTGGGACTTTACAGATCATTCTAATGCCCTCATGTGATTTATGTAAGGTCTGTATCCCAGAGAACAAGACTGTTTTTTATATATTTATTTTTTATCAGTGCTTGGGCCAGTGGGGAAGCCTGGGAGGTGTTATCCTGTTGCAACTCCAATCTATCTCAATTCCATTTAACTTGCATAAAATCACTGCTGAATTTCATCTCTTGAGGCTGTTACTTCAAAACTCATCAGATTCTATAGGCTGTTACTTCAAAACTCATCAGATTCTATGTTTCCATAGGTTATCCCATGGAATAACCCATGCCCATGGCATTTGTTTGTGGCTGCTGGAAGAAAACAAAGATGAAGTAAGAAGTGAATAAAATCTCAGAACATAGCTGATATTGATTGTCTCATTTAGCATTTTTTTCCAAATCTTTCTATAAAAAAACAGCAAATTAGCAATAGTTTGGAAACAATAAATGGAAAGGATGCTTGAAAAAATAAACTATCAGAATTTAAATACTAATTTGTAAAACTGGAAATTCTCACCCTGAAATGAAGCTAAACACCTTTTTCTGGGAGCATTTTTTAAAAATTGATAGCATTTACTTATTCTTTTCTCCATTTGCTTTCTCTTCCTCCATTTAAAAAGGAAAAAAAAATAGATAAAATATTGCAAAATAGCAGATGCATTTGCCTATCCAGTTTGCTGAGGAGGTAACTGTCAGCCTAGCAGGAAAGAACAAGCATGAGGGGATTCTTCTGCTGGCCTGAAGTTGTTCACGAGTCTCTCTCCCAAATCACAAAACCACAGCCCTACACCTCTGACATGATGTAGCACAAAAAAGATCACCATCAAATGAGTAATTGGGACAAAAATTGAATTTTTATACCCAGAGGTGCTAAGCATTTTCATCACTTAGTGATTCACTGACAAGTACCTGCATTCCACGCTGCCTAATTTTTATTTGCATGTTTAAACTTGAACATAACATTTATTTGGCTGCAGAAATAAAAATTTACCCCAAAAAAGATATTCAGTTCCAGTTATGGCAAGTGTGTCTAAAACACATCTAATCAGGGCCTTCATTGCTTGGAGATTTAGTACATCAGCTTTATCTTGTTTATTTGGGCAACTGATATGGTTTTCAAGGCATGGATAACAAGGCATGGGCACAGCTGACTGTGCTCTAACAGGAATGAAGGAACCTTCAGATTTTCTCTCTGTGTCAAAGGTATTGTTTGACATAAATAATAATAATATTCTGAGTTAAATAACAACAGTCAGAATTACTGTATGGTCTAAAATACAACCAGAGGTGTGGGAAAGCCTCTTTTTCAGTGAGCTCTGTTACATTCATGCGTCATCTTTTTTTTCAGATGCCCTCCAGTAGTTCACAGCTGGGTTTCCTTCAGCCAGCGCAGCTGGGAACTTGAGGAGTGAACTGAAAAATGCTCTCTTCACTTCAACCCACCTTACCTGGAAATGATTTAAACCTGTTTCACTCAGCAAAACTTGCTCTCTCCTTTACCCCTAGGAGGAGCATGTTCTCTAAGGATGAAATAAGACTCATCTACTGTTGTGTCATCAACTGGGTGTTGGATGGTATCACTTATTTCCTGGGTTTGGAGAGACTTCGACTTTGTTTACATACATTTCCTTTAAAGCAGAAACACATCCAGGGCTAGGTAGGTGCCTTTCTAAGTGAGTTCTGCAGAGGCAGATATTTGATACAGCTGGGCCTGATGGGTTTTTTTTCTCTCATGCTCTTCTTTCCTTCTCCTTTATACTCTCCTAAGACATCCTTTACTTCACAGGTACTAAATAACTTTAACTTTACCCAGTAAAGTCCCAGCTCATATGTCTCAGCTTTGTCTTGGCTCTTTTAACTCACATTTACCTCTGAATTTGTTGTGTTTATTAAAGACCAGAACAAACCTCCCTGATTTTCTGAAACCCGTTGGCTTTATAAAGATTTCACTTCAAATCTATTGAAGCAATGAATTTATCCAGCAGAATTTGTTTATTATTCATGTACTCCTTCTTCAGGAAGATAGCATCAAGGTTAAAGACACATCTTTAAAACTTAATTACAAGTATCAGGAGGAAGACAGAGTGATCCTGCCTTTCATCTTGCCAAGCCACGGGTAAGTTGTGATAGATGACAAATACTGAAGCCAGAGATGACACACAGTTCATTGAGGAAGATTTAAACACTGTAGGGTGATGTAAACACAAATTTCTGTTTTCTAGAACCACAGGGGTGATTTATGAGGTCTATGATTTCTAAAATAAGAAATATGGATGTTTCATGGAAAGCTGTCTTCCCTCCTCTAAATGAGGGACAAATGGAACAAACCAGAGAGGTCCCCTGTCACCACAGGTATGGGCTTGCCTGAACTTTAGCTCTGTGGATATTTAAAAGAATTCCCCAACCCCTTCAATATTCTCTTAGAGTGCTCTATGTTACAGTAGTTATACCACTACTGTTTAATTTTCCTGAGACGAGAGCTCATTGGTGAAGTTCTAAACCAGTGCTTCATTATATTTTCTAATTATCTATGTAGATAGCTGCTGTCATTTGGCTAAAAAATGAATTTCAGTATATGTGGAGAAATAACATTAATTGCAAAAAATTAATTGCTTTTTAAGTTATAAAATTTCTAGATTGACTCAAGTGAATTAGGAAAAAAAAATCAAACCCTGAAAACAGAGCTTTGATTCATTTTACTTGATCTGAAATGATCAGTTCATCCTGCTAGGTAGACTTTTTATAATTTGACCTTGAGTGAAAGAGCTTTCATTCCTGATAGAAACTAATTGTATGTGTGGTGTTCAAACCATAGAGTTGAAATTAAATTAGTACTGCACAGGAGGGGATCATACAAGGAAAAACACACCGTCTTAATGGGCTGTAAAACTGAGTGAAGCACTGTTTTCAAACCAATGAAATAGCTATAAAGTCATCTTTGCTCTTTATGATTCAAATATACCCCTGAAAGTTATAATTTATACCTTAAACACAAAAACCATAGAGAGTGAAAAACTGCATTTTTCAGTAACATGACAATAAGCCCTCAGTTGAGTTGTTTTTTACCAAATATTTATGCCAAGAGTTGAAACAGGAAGTTTTCTATATGTTCTTTGAAGGGAAGTCAGGTTTCATTATATTAGTACGAGTCTTTGAGCTGTGCTTCTCTTTTTTGGGAGCACGTGTTTTAAATTAATGCCTTTTCCATCTCCCTTTCTTTGCAGCACGCTTCACTCACAGTGTGCACAGTGATCTGATCTCAGCTTGTTTGCTCTGAAGATAATGTAAGTTTTGCCAATGACTTTGACAAAGAAAAGCACTTTGCCCAGTAATTGCTTGTAATATGCAGATATAACTATCTATAATAATACGTGCTGTATTTCAAAAATGGAAGGAACAAGAATTGTGAAGTCATAATACTGAAGAATTCTGAGGCTTCACTACACCCCCCCTTTTATACTGGTGAGCTCTGGCAATGTACAGCACTCTTGAAATGGTGTAATTATGACTTTGGGTCACTTCAAGGTTACTTTACACAACATAAAGAAGCCTTTGCATACCAGGGGAGTGGTGTTTAGGTATTGTCTTGAAACTCTCTTCCTTCTGTAAAGAACAACATGATGTTGAAGTCTGCTCCAGGAAAAGAAACACAGCCCAGAAGCCCTTGTGGTAGTGATTCTGTTCTTGCATCGGGCTGGGATGGCCTGTGGTTGGTGTGCAGTGAGCACCATCACCACACACCACTGTGTTTCAGCTGGATATCATCCTGGACAGTGCTCAAAGTCAGCTGGAAACAAAGGCTGGCTGAGATGTTCATAAACATCTGGCAGGAGTCTGTAAACTGAAATTATTGTTCGTTAAACCCCGTCAATGAGTATGAAAACCTTCACTAGTTCAGATTTGGGACTAAGAATCTAAACTCATATGCTCTTCGCTTTTTCCTTCTTCTGTTTTGGAAATCTTCAGAAGAAGGTGATGAAACTTTTTCACTGGAAGGCGATGAAGCTTGTGGTGCTTCTGAAAACACATTTATCTGTGCAGGGTGAAGGTAGCTTTCTAGAAATGCTCAAATTCAGTAATTTCTGCTATCTTGCCTTCAAAGACATTTAGAAATACCTAAGAATTACACCTACTGCCACTTCTGGGATACACATTTAGTGAGGATTCACTGCCCAAACACACATTTAAAGCCACATTTCTGAGTCTACTTGTTAAGTGGAAAAGTCTCAGCTTTTATTTAACTAAACTTCTGTCTTTAGAGAGACACTTATAAGTGTAAAATCAAACCTAAAGAAAGGAAAACACACTTCCTGTCTTGGGCTTTCGTGTAGTTCAGAAGGAGGGAATCTGCCCACCACTGAACAGTTTGGATGCCCTCTTTTACTTTACTCAGGTAAAATTAATTTGTTTTCTGAGAGTAAAAGAGCACACAAAGTAAATGAAATTGCTTACGGCATGACTTAAGATATCCATATTTACTTACAGCCACTTTTTTTAATAAATAAAGCAAATAAGATCCTCTTCTACTCTGTAGTAGAATTTTGGTGTTGCAAATGTATTTAAGAAAGAGCTTTGAATAAACTTTGCTTATCAAAAAAATCCTGATCCTGCAAATTCTTGTGAATGAACAATTACTTGATCCTCCTGGGTTTTTTATAGCTGAGTAAACTGAGTAAAAAAGACTGGACCAGCCTTAACAACCATTTCTTTTAAACTGTATACATTCCTATTCCTTTGGCTTTTATAGCTGAGGGAATTTGTACAGAGATTTTGATGAAAACTGTAAAATATTTACTATTAACATACAGCATCTAACAGAAAAAATGTTACTGAAGTACAAACTGCACCGGTTCACACCTCTGGACTCTCATTTCTAATTTATTTCTTGTCAACAGAACAAAATGGATTTGGCATCTTTGTTTAACGTTCACACCTCTGAAACTGCTGCTGTGGCTCTTTCCAGCAGGCACTGGAGTTATGCTCCAGTGAAATTAAAGGAATTTAATTTACTTCCATCATTGGCACCTGAACAAGGGAGTTGATAACAGAAAGTCTTTGCCAATTGTCTCCCAGCTCAGTAGTGACACAAAGTAGTGTCTGTGAGGTGTGTTTGTGAATCAGGAAATGATTGAATAGATTATATTTGTCCGCATTAGAGAAAAAAAAAAGCCCTACAATTTTTCAAAAATTTAATAAAATTATACAGGACCTACTGGATAAAGAGTCAATTCCATTTCTGTGTCGTAACTGTCAATTTACAGTGGAAGGGCTGCTTTTTAGCAGTGACTAATAACTGTACAAGACAAATTCAGCAAACATAATGATATGGCTTTCTCTGTTGTTATTTCTCTAAAAGCAAGGCCTAATTTTTTAATTTACAGATGCAAAAGCATTGCTCTTGGTAACCAAATCATTAACATCAAAAGCCACATTTTGAAAAGCCAGAAAAAGCATGCATTCCTTGTTTCAAACCAGAGGTTTTCTTAACTTTCACACTGCTGTAAACTGTTGTTAACTCCAGTGGGATCTGAACGTATATTTTTGCTGCTGGTTCCTGTTTCAGAGTGTTTGAAGTGAACTGTGATCAGTGTTCATATTGAGAGGAAAGTTGGCTGGAAGTGAGGATGTGACTGAACCACTGTATTTTCAGACAAAGTTGGGTTTTTTCTCCATGGAAAGTACTGGAAGTATGTAATATTTAATTACATGTAAGGAATATTTTCACTTTTTGATCAGATAAGGACTACTGTGAAACCATTTAGGGGCTTGAAAAATAAGATTGGCAATTTACAAAAAAAATATCTTTCAAGAAGCATTTGGCAAAACCCCAATCCTATTCCTTAAAAAAACAAAAGAACTATAAATATTGGTTTTGATGCAAATTGACAAATCACTTCAGCTGATCTGAGCATGAATATTGGTGTGGACAAACAGCTTGGCTGGATAAAAATGAAAATGTGCATATTTTCAATTTATAATGAGATCTAGAGAATACAGATCCCCTCCAGACTGAAGTGCACGAGATGAAATTTAAAACACATTTATGGAAAAATGCAAATATTTTGCGCATGAATTATAATGTGGCTGCAACCCTGTTGTTTATAGCTGGGAAGGAAGATACACGATATACCCAGAGTGAAAACACTTGTGAGTCAATGGCAAAGTTTTCTTCATACTGCAAAGAAATGACATAGATCCTGCCAGTCCTTGAGTTTCCAATCCAAGCCCAGAGCCATTGGTCCAATTCAGGTTTCACTGATCTGTTTTACCATGAGCAAGACCACGCAGAAAAGTCCTTTCCAACAAAGGTTTCTATTGTTGGCTACCAGAACCAAAGGTTATCATTGGGCTTCAGCCCAAGGGTAATAAACTGCAGCACCAAAATCATGTGCATTATTGGTGATGATTTTAGGAGGACCAAATCAATTGTATATTAATTTAAAGGTGGGATTGATAAAGCAGATAATTCGAGCCCTGTTATTTTTTTTTTACACAGTTAATTTTGAATTAGTTGAAACCTAAGGGTTGGTAGCGCTTTCTCAGAGACCCACAAATAGCAATGCACAAAGAGAGGTTTTCTCCTTTTTGTTCATACTTTGGTCTTGGCTAGAAATCTTAAAAAAGAACAGCTCTACACTTTTAACGTGGTATTTTGATTTCTTTTTGGTTATGATCTGAGGGTAATCTGACATCTAGATTGGCTTTGCACTTTTCTACAGGCGAGGTGTGACAAGGGAGGAAACTGATATGGGAGCATTATCTAAATGATATGAGGAAAAGCAGCAAGACATCCTAATAAACCACATTTATCCATGTCAGAGCAGTAGCATTTATAATTGGCATAATGCTAACTCAGTGTCAGAGTGTAACTCAGCACATATTTTGTCTGTTTTCTAGAAGGAACAGAAAATCCTCACCAGTATTAATTTAGTTATAGCACATTATGAAATTTTAGGCAGGGAAACGTGTCCAGAACTTGGTGAGAGTCCTCAAAAGGGAAGTATTCATGACAGTTCCAATTCTTTTTTTATATAATCCCATTATGTGAAAGTGAGAGATTGCTAGAAACATTTTCCCTTAAAGAGGAAAAAATTGTAGTCACTTTCCCTTGCAGTTGGGAGGTATCAGGGAAGCAGCTTTAACCACGGAAAGGGAATAGTTTTGCTGCAAGGAGTAATATAAATCAGATGCATCTTCAAAATTAATTCCACTACAATTTTTTTTTTTTTTTTTTGCCACTAGTTTC